CTCGTGATGGATTTCAGAACTCAGACCTAGGAGTTAATTCGGCATGAAGGATATACCTGTTCTATTATTCTCTCTGCTATTATGTATGTTTGAAATTTTACACAATAATAATTTCTTTAAAAAAAAAAAGAGCCCTTCTCACCAGCTGCAGATTTGTTGTGAACATGGGCCAGTGGCCGGGTGTTTCCCTGAGACTAACCCTTGGCTTGCCTGTAGCAGGGGAAGGGCTGCCCTCCCTAGGGAGAAGGAAAGAGACAGGCTCATTCTGTTTGTCGAAGAATCAAAGAATTAGAGTACTTGGTTCAATTCCCTGAATCTCCTACATCCAGGGAATTAGGCTATAAATCCTATAAAGCATTCTCTAGGTTTTTTCCAGGAACACTTGTTTACACTCAGGCCACGAACGACACAACGGGAGGACAGGTTTCATTTCACAGTGTTTTGGCATTTGCAGCTCAGACCGAAATTGCAAAGAAGCAGAATAGGAGAGCAATGAAGAATGGTGCACATTTTTTGAATGTCTCATTCTATCTGTGGTTCTGACTCTATATTTAGAATCCTTCCTTTCTTCTTTCTTTCCTTCCTTCCTTCCTCCCTCCTTCCCTCCCTCCCTCCCCCCCTCTCTTTCCTTCTTTCTTTCTCCCTCTCTCTTTCTTTCTTTCTTCCTTTCTTTCTTTCTTCCTGCCAGGTACCATGCAAGGCACAAAATGACAGAAAAGTAAATAAGCAGGTACTTTTCCTTACCTAAAGGTCCACTCCAGTAAGAAACACAATGATTAAGCAAGCACAAAATAAAACATAATTATAAGCTGGGATAAGTGATCTGAAGGAAGAGAATGGGGGCGGGGGTGTGCTTGATATAAAACATACTCCTAGAGAGAACTAATTTCATTCAGGGGCCAGAAGTAGTCCCCTTCTAGTTTAGAGGTTTCAACATACAATGATCTCTGGGATTGTAATATTTTAAGGGTCTTATATCCCATCCTAATCCCTTTATCCATTATTTCCAAGAGGAGATAATGTTTAAATGCAGGTGATAGAACTTTTGCCCACACCTCTTCCATAACTTCCACTGGAGACAAATTAGGGAGAGGAGGGAGGGTAGATAAATCATTTAACACCTGAGAGTAAGACTCAGTTCCTTTTCTTTGAAATGAGATTGTTGCACTAGGGAAGCTCTGAGGTCTTATCACCTTTTTTAACGTTTTAATAAATAGTGTGATCCCATGGAGTCCTCTGGAGCTGGTTTTTACCTTAGAATGAAGTTTTCATGAGCTATATGCTATTCATTGTTTTGAAAGAAAATACTATGAGACCCACTGTACACCTCCCAGGACTGCAGAAGGAATCTTTATATTTTAGTATTTTAATGATGTGACGGGAATAATATTGTTCAGTGTCACTTATGTAGTATTCCAGCTTAGAACGCATAACCATGAGGAAACAGACAGACAAACCCAAAATGAGGCAGAGGAACACTTTTTTTCTTCCTTTTTCTTTTTCTTTCTCTCTTTCTTTCTTTTTTAGGTACTGTACTCTTCAAAAAATGCCAAATAATAAAAGGCAAAAAAAGTCTGTGCAAACATTCCAGATTAAAGAAAATTAAATGGATAAGACAAGCCAATGCAATACCTGGTTCTAGACTCAATCTTATACCAGAGGGAAAATCCTGTGATGGGCATTGTTTGCCAATTGATGAAAATGGAACATTGATGGTGGATTAAAAAGAAAAATTGTACCAATGTTAAATGGACTGAAGTTGATAAATGTACTATGGTTATCTAAGAGAATACCCCTCTTCGTAGGAAAGAGACACTGGTGTATTTTAGGGTCAAGAATCATTGTGCTGGTCCTTTCCAGCTGCTATAACAAAATACCATGGACTGGGTGGCTTATAAACAGCAGAAACATCTTGTTCACAGTTCTGGAATCTGGAAGCCGGGAGTCAGGGTTCCAGAACGTTCTGGTGAGAGCCCTCTTCTCTTCTGGGTGGAAGACTCTTCGTGATATCCTTACATGGCAGAAGGGTTAGGGTTCTCTCCAGGGTTCCTGCTTGTGAGGGCCTCCCAACGGCCCCACCTACTAATACCATCACATTTAGGGGATAGGATTTCAACCTGTAAATTTGGAACACAGCAGCTGTGGTGTGTGCAATATACTTTCAAATGTTTGAGAGAGAGAGAGAGAGAAGGCAGTGATAAAGCAAATGAGGCCAAATGACAATCTGGGCAAAGATCTATGTGTCCAATTACTATTTTCATTCTTGCAATTTTTCTGTAAGTTTACAATTCTTTTCAAATAAAAAGTTAAAATATATGTTGTTGGCTAAAGGAGCACTTAGAGTTCCGTGTTCCAGCACAGCGCCTCAGAAGTTCTAGAGAATTCTACCCCATAATAACACAGTGCCTTGTGGAGGACATCTACATTGGCATTTGAAACAACTGAGCTGATGTCATTTGCATAAAAAGCAAAAGAATTAAAGCGTTTCATGGTGGGTGTGAATTTGTAATGAGGAATAATTCTAAAATGGCCCCCTATTTTCTGTTCAAGCATATATTTGTCTTATACAAGTTAATTGCTAAACAGATGAAAAAGAAAATCACCATCAAATGAACAAGGGAAATTCTAGTTCTTGTGAAACAGATAATTCATGAAGGGAATAGTTATGATGGGCACGGAATTTGCCATTGGTAATGACTTTTTAAATTGTAAGATACATAGAAAGCAAAGCTGATAGAAAGTCTTCATTTTTCTACTGCCAGAATATTGTCATAACAATTTTATGGTGTGTCAAATGCAGGCTGAATTCCTTTTTTAGGGCATAATAATAAAGGGGTGATGACTACAGGGGAATTTGGACGAAGCTAATTTTCCAATTCTCGTAAAATCTGACAACGGATAATTTTAGGATGCTGTATACGTAAAGTCTGTTGTTGTTGTTGTTTGCTATTTTCACTGCTTTGAATAACAGCCTTCAATAACTGGTACCCTGATCTGACTGCCCGATAGAGTCGCTCGCTCCTTCCTTGGCTGGAGCCTGACCAACAATGCAGCCATCCTCGTGAAGGTGGCGCTGTGCTCCGCGCGGTCCCGAAGGATGCGGGCGGGTGGAAACCCGGAGGGCGTGCAGGCGGAGAAGCAGCCCAGGTGCACAGCTCAAATGCATAAGGAGAACACAGTCTGTGCAAGAAGCAACCCGCCCCGTCGCAAATGATGCCAATGAGGAGCGAGCTCCTGAGGGCTTCTGTGTCCCACACACGGGTGTTGACATTCAAATGGCACTACGCTTTGTTCTCATACACGAAACTGATAATAAGTATGTCCTTCGCATCATTATTCCATCACCTTTTATCTCCCATCCTCTCACCTTGTTTCTTCTTTCTGTAACTTTTCCTCCTTCCCTCTCTTCTCACTCTTGGAGGTGCTTTAGAATAGATGTTGGTGCTTCCACTGCCTAGAAGTTATATTATCGCCAACTCCTTTGTGCACTGGTGGCTAACTGACCTAGGAATGTCGCCTACACTGCCTGAGGGTTGCAGTAATGAAAGGTCTTTTTGCTGGCTGGAAGGACACCTGAAGGCCCAGTGTAAGATGTGGATGCTCTGCTGGCTTGATTGGGAGCAGACATGAGACGGGTTGTTGGAAAATATTTTCTTTATCAATAATTGTTTTTTGGAGTTCACCTTTCTCAAGGAGAATGTGTAAGAAATGGTTTTCGAGGTTGAATGTTTTTTCTATCAATCAGTGTGGCTCTTTCCCACAAGAGTCATTTTTTGAAATTCATTCTTCAAGGACCATAGACAACAGTATAAGAAGAAAAGCGCAAATTCCATCCTAAGTTGTTGGCAACCCCCATTCCATAGCGGGAGAACTATGTTTAGGAGTAGATCTGGTGAGGAAAAGTCAGCTGGACTTAAAAACGCACAGAACCTTTGTTAGCGTTGGTAAGCCTCGTTACGGCTTATTAAGTAAACCAGCTGCGATGCAGACTGACCTGACGTGTCAGTGACAAAGTGGAACTCCCCAGAGAGCTCTCTCCTGAAGGAGGTGGTGTGTTTTCAGGTGAGCCCTGGTCCACACCACGACCACAGAGGTGACGTTTCAGACACAGCAGGTGGAGCAAAAGTGGAGGAGAGCGATAAGAATGATTTTTTTAATTTGGAAACATACTTTTGGGGGGATACTAACCAAATGGGGCTCACTGCATAGTAAGAAAAGTGGTTGATACGTGATTTCTGTACAATATTTAATTTGTGAAAGAATAAGAGGTGCGTGATGGTGAGCAGACATTTCTTCTTCTGAGTGGAAGGAAGCTGTAGGAAGAGTCTCGGATCATATTAGGACAGACTGCACACCAGGTAACACAAGAAACATGGCCAAGGAGATTCCATGGGCCCCTTTTCTTATTTTCAAGAAGCAGTTAACTTTCTTTGGTGAATGAACTACACTTATTCTTGTTTAGAAGCAGAAAGGTGAACCAACTAGCCCCTCAAGTTTCCTGTCATTATTTGTCCCTTTCAATCACAGATTTTCAAAGCTGACAGGGAGCCCTGGAGATCATCCACTTTCTGAATGAGGACGCCAATTTAAATGATTGTCCAAAGTCATGCAGGTCATAAGTGGCAAAGATGAAACAGCAACCAAGTTCTGTCCACCTCCCATCCACAGTTATATTCCCGCCAGACAAAAGGACCTCCCTAGTCTCTTTACACCGAATACACAGAAAGCTAACACCCGTCCCATCTTCAGCCCCAGGCTCCATGCTGGTCCCCAGGAGCACTCCCATTAGCCTCATGTCTTGTCCATATAGTTGGGGCCCCTTAGAGGACAGATCCTAGGACCCCCATCTGAGTGTCTGGTCCAGCTAAAAGTCAGAGAAATGAAGAGCTTTGCTGTGGTAGAAACTAGCCTGCCCTGAGCCCCCAGCCCCACGTGGCTTCTTTCCGGGGACGACAGTGCACCTCGCTTTTGACAGCCTGTCTTCCTGTTTGCCTTTGCAGGTTTCACAGCGGCCGCCTCCCTCGTGTCCTTGGCTTGGGCCTTGGCCTCCTACCAGAAGGCCCTCCGGGACTCTCGTGATGACAAGAAGCCCATCAGCTACATGGCTGTGGTCCTCCAGTTCTGCTGGCACTTCTTCACCATCGCGGCCAGGGTCATCACCTTCGCGCTCTTCGCCTCGGTTTTCCAGCTCTACTTTGGGATCTTCATCGTCCTTCACTGGTGCGTCATGACCTTCTGGATCGTCCACTGTGAGACAGAGTTCTGTATCACCAAATGGGAAGAGATCGTGTTCGACATGGTGGTGGGGATCATCTACATCTTTAGCTGGTTCAACGTCAAGGAGGGCAGGACACGCTGCAGGCTCTTCATTTACTATTTTGTGATCCTTGTGGAAAACACGGCCTTGAGTGCCCTCTGGTACCTCTACAAGGCTCCCCAGATCGCGGACGCATTTGCCATCCCAGCGCTGTGTGTGGTATTCAGCAGCTTTTTAACTGGCGTTGTTTTTATGCTGATGTATTATGCCTTCTTTCACCCCAACGGACCCAGACTCGGGCGCTCCCCAAGTTGTGCTTGTGGGGACCCCGCCGCTGCCTTCACGCCGTCTCCAGAAGTGGCCACGAGCGCCCTGCGGTCCCTCTCCAACACCCGCAGTGTGGCCGGCGACCGCGACCAGAAATTCGCAGAGCGGGACGGGTGCGTGCCTGTGTTTCAGGTGAGACCCACGGCCCTGTCCACCCCGTCCTCTCGCCCACCACGGATTGAAGAATCTGTCATTAAAATTGACCTGTTCAGGAATAGGTACCCAGCATGGGAGAGACACGTCTTGGACCGAAGCCTCCGAAAGGCCATTTTAGCCTTTGAAGGTTCCCCGTCGCCTCCGAGGCTGCAGTACAAAGACGATGCTCTCATCCAGGAACGGCTGGAGTACGAAACCACCCTGTAAAGCAAGAGGGCTCGGAGGGGCCGCAAGCTCCAGACCCAGGGGTGACAGCCGGGCCGCGGTGATAATGAAACTCCGCCCTGGAGTAGGGCAGCGAGCTGTACCGGTCGCAGTCTGACCATCATCAGGATGCGTGCCTGGCCCTCCATCAGCTGACAGCCTGCCGCTGGCCTCCTTGGAAAAAGCAGCCCAGAGACCCTACTGCTCCACCTGAAGGGAACAGGCCAGCTCAGTAGGACCCGTTGTTGCCAGCAACCCCTCCTGCCCCGCCTTTCAGCACATCCACCTGAGGGTACTATTATTATGGGAAATGTTGCCTCCGATCAGTAGGGTGTTTTGATGGAGTTAACTGATCTTTGCATAAAAATATACTGAGTCATACACACGTGTACACACACACACACACACACACACACACACCGATCCTGTCAAAATAGCTTAGGTGATTTCTTTTGATGCAAAGCTGTGATTCCCACGGGAATATAAAAGCAAAGAGAGAGAAAACATATCCCTCAAGACTCCAGAAAAAAAAAAAAAAAAAAAAGTAAAGTTTAGAAAGAATGCATAAACCATTCTCACGTGAAAACCTATCCCATGCGTGAAAAGCCTATCCAATGGACAGAAAACCCAAGTGTGTTTACGCATGTATTAGAATTGATGGAATGGTTCGTTTTCAACACGTCAGGATTTTTTTTCATTTTAAATTTTCCGTTGAGAACGTCTTTCATGACAGATACCCCACGCAGCCCATGGCTGGCTTTTGACGAGACCAAGGAGCTAGATACCTTGGGGATGAAAGTTCACTGATAATCAGGATGCAGTATTCAATTGCCAAAATTTGATAAAACCACGAAGAGGAAGCGGGAGAAAAAGGCAAAATGAGCGTCTGATTTCCCGACCTGTGCAGCTCACATGGGAAGGTCGAGGCAGAGCGGAGGGAGAGCCGGGCTGTGCTCAGGTCCAGGAGTGGAGGCTCTGCGTGAGTGCGGAGAGGCCGGATTCCAGAACACGCCGCGCCACACCCTTCTAGTGCCAAACACCGTCCAGCACGGGACTGACGGGGACGCCCTGAAGGGCTGAGCATGAGGCGTGAGCCCCACGAAAGCGGAAGAGAGCACGAACAGTCAAGTTCTTCGCTGTGTACAGACTCCCCCCTCCCCCATCCAAGGTCAAAGTGGTGTGTCTTTTAGAGGCTTTGGGACACATTTTAGTAAGTATGAGCAGACAGATGCAGTGAATATGCTATAAGAAAACCCTTCTGAACCGATTGAGGGCTTATCACTAGATCCAGCTAAGATTCGTATTTGAGTCCTTTGTAAAGTCGCACTCTTACAACAAGCTTCTGGGTTTTAAATACCTCCGTCCAGCAAGTAAACGTTCCCCACTTTCTGTTCCCAGCGTCCCCCAGTCATGGTGCTTTTTGTTGCATTAAAAGTGCCGGTCAAACTTTGATAGTATTTTTTTATAGTTGGTGCAGAGTGGAATAACTCATGGATTATTTCAATATTTTTGTAATAAAAAAATATAGGGTATACATATAAGCATCATCACTTTTTTTATAGACCTGGAATCGTTTAAAATACTTTAAGCATCATAGTTACTTGGGATGTCAGAAACTGGTCCACAGATCCCATCAACCTGCCTCGGCAGGTTAAGAACATGCGTCTCTTGCAAGATCACCCTACTTTACCATGTTGGTGCCCCCAGGAACCTGGCCAAGGGTGCTATCAGAGTATCAGGGGACAAGAGAGTCAGCTTAACTAGAAAGGGCTTGTCAAGACTGGCCAATGTTTCCCAGGAAATCAAAGATGTAAGTGATTACTTTCTTCCATCTGTTATGACAAACCTGACCACAGTGGAAGATGTCTTAAACTTCCTTCCCTGGTTTTATATTAACCCAACAGATATACTAAATATTAGTCAAGTCACTTAAAAAAAATCAGTGTAACATATTCAGTTTTTTGGACTGTCCAATTAACTTTAAATAGTCAAGGTCTAGAGCCACCACCTGTAATGGGTGTATCCTATGGAGACCGCTGTCCCTATGATGACACCCACAGGAAGTGACAGAGGGCTCGACCTAGGACTCCTTTTGGTACAAAGCCCCAAAGCAATGTCTTAAAAAATGGATGATTTTTATCAGTAGACATATTTTCCTAGTACTCCATGATTTGATCCTTCAAGCAAGAGTCCACTAAAAGATAATAGTCTTTTGTTTGGATGTGAAAACATTATCTAGTCACCAGTAGAGGCCCAGGAAGACGCTCTTCTTGTCGGCAATTAGTGAAAACATCCCACCCCCAACTGTAGAAGGAAAAAAAAGATTATAATGGCAGATTCTTCACTTTGGTGCCGAACCACGAGTCACTAGCTTCATTAATTAATGATCTTTGGAAATTGAATTGCTCAGTTGAACTCTACCTTTGATTCCACGAGTAAATAATAGATTATAATAATGTCAGTCAACAAACACAACAGATCCCATCACTCTTCAATCATGTAAGTCCTAAATTATTTCTCAACTTGATCCTTCATTTAACAAGTCAAGAGTCAAAATAGGTGCTGTGTGGCTAAAAAATGACGTACCGCGCTTTGTCTTGGAGGTGAGAATGCAGTCAGGAGGGTGCAAGCAAGAAGTTTGAATTTTTCAGTGATTTCCCAAATACTGTAAATACTCTGTTATCCAGCATACTTGAAGATTTTGATGTTTTAGTCAAAAATTCTTGTGAAGGCAATGACATCTCCACCATGTTATAAATTACACACTTTCTCAAGATTACAAACAAGAACAACAACATTTTTACTTCCGAGGAGAATCATGACGTAATCTTGCTTCCATGATTCATAAAGTGGTGCATTGCCATCAGACTGTGTGGTGATGAGAACGTGTATTAGTTTCTAGATCCACCGATAACAGAGAGTTTAAAGTATTAGGATTTAAAGAGACATTGTCAACATACAAAGGAACAAAGTTTGATTTTCATATGTATAGTTTAGTTCTTCCTAAGATTTTATTTTCAATTTACCATTACAACGTCCACTCCACGGAGAGTACCTCAAGAATCCAAAAAGAGCTAGCCGTGGTTAGCATACGAATTGGAAACGCTGGATTATTTATCTGTGGGCTCCAACTAACTTCCTGGGCTGGGTCTACTTGGGTCCCCTGTAGGGGGTGAGGGGTCTGTTCTTAGTGCTTGATTTTTGCATAGGACCATGAAATTTTCTAAAAGAAAATATTATAAATTTTTTTCACTTCTAAATTAGCATTTCTCAACAAAACCTTATTTGAAATGAAGGACCATATGTATCTTAACCACACTGAGACTTTAAGTATTTGTGTGGAAGAAAAACAATTTTTTTCTCCATGTAAGTCAAAGTTTGATCCCCCAAAATGACTATGTCCTTTAAATCTTCTCCCATTTCCATTGTCCTACTTAACTATGTACTATCTAGTTCAGTAACCTTGACTTTGCAGACACTTTGTTCCTATTCCTTTATGATATTGCTGTGAACATGACAAATGAAATAAATTTTCCTACTGACATGGCAAGAATATGCAATTCAAGTATTAGCAAAAGAGAAAATACAAAGATAATCTGAAGATAAAATACATTGAAGTATTTATACTTAATTTCTAAATGCCCAATTCTTTTGGCTCTATGAATAAATGAAGTAATTAAACCAATTAAAAGTGAATAGGAATAATTGAAAGCTCAATGACTTTTTAAAGAAATATTGTATATACGTGTGTATGGTATGGATAACAGATACATATTACATATAATACACGCGCACACACACACAACTAAGGTAACAGATGAAAAGAGTAAAGTATATACTGCCCCTTTCATGCATATCAATTGGTATGTTATTGACACGTGAACTTATAGATTAAAAGCTTTTTCCCCAGCTCCTTTTTGGCATCAGCCCAAGCGTAGAGCCCATGTGTCTGTAAGACATCAGGACACTTGTGAACTTTGGTTGGAAATACCTAGATATAATTTAGCACTTTTAGCTTGTATGAATTTTCCCCCCCTTAAGGATCTCATCTTTTTTTTTTTTTTTTTTGGGACGCGGGCCCCCCCCTCTTTGGCCTCTCCCGTTGCGGAGCACAGGCTCCGGACGCGCAGACTCAGCGGCCATGGCTCACGCGCCCAGCCGCTCTGCGGCATGTGGGATCTTCCCGGACCGGGGCACGAACCCGTGTCCCCTGCATCGGCAGGCAGACTCTCAACCACTGTCATTTCAAAGTTTCTTTCTCTGAACAGATTGAATGGAGCAAAGAAAACCTCTGGTGTCCTTAGCAGGATTATGTAAGGTTACATATTTGCCTTTAAGTGTACCAAATGCCATTGAGTGGAAACAAGCTCTGACACGATGTTTGGACAAGAATCCAGAAATTTCTTTTCTAATGAACCATTTTTGAGACTGCATTCTGACGAGTCTTTGCCCTTAGCCGTTACTGTTTCTCATCATTACTGGATGAGTTGCCTGCGTTTATATGTTTCTAAGGAGAATTCCTTAAAGCCTTTTAAAAAAATAGCTCAGGCTGTCTTTCAGAAAAATAGCTCAGAGGATGGTTGATGTGCGTGGTGGAAACACAGCAGGACTGAGGTGGTCGTTTCTCTAGTTTCAGTGATGGATGCAAATCAACTCATGTTCATTTATCTTCAGCAACCCAATGTCACTTTTGAAAACAATCAAAATGATGGCTTCTGCCAGTTTGTGACTCATAACACCCTATCTCCCCAACTGAAGCAGGAGCCTTTCAAAATGGCTAAGGATGGGCCATTTCCCTCAATCACCCCCACCCCACCTCCGTTTCCAAGTTTCTGGTCCCGACCTGTATCAGGCTGTGAAACGATCTTGACAGTTGGGTGCCACCTCCTCTCCTCACCGGAGCAGGTTGCACTGTCTACTGCAGAGGGCTCCCTATGGAGATACATCTTGTCCAGTGGCTGTCCTAAAAATGGGCACACGGGAAGATGCAATAAGAGTTTGTGATCAACAGCCTCCAAAGTAAAACTCTGCGGCATGTGGGTGAAATTGTATAAAAACACGATGCGCCATTTAATTTGCTAATTGTAGCAATTAGGCGAGCTCGCGCAACAGCAGAAAGCCAAATGGAGGAAGTGGCAAATAGCCGTTTACCCACAGAAATGAGGGGTTCAGGAGCTCTCCCTTGAGTGCTGGAGGCATCACGTTGTTTTGCCATCCATCTGAAGCTCTTTCTCTAGATCCCATAAGAAAAAAAATCAGACGCTTTGTAATATTGCATGCAGTGATCTAGCGCAGAAATGTAAAACTTTAACCTTTTGTGGGCCTATGTTCTGCTAAATAAGGGGCCAGTTAATGTCTAATTTCTTTGCTAAAATCATTGCCATAATATACTGACACAAGTCAGAAACACTGACTGAATCAAATTTTTGCTTTGGTTATTCCCCCCACCCCCGAAGACTTTACGCCGTTCATTTCCCCATACGGATGGTAGCTGACTGTGCCCGAGACTATTGTGTGCCTGGGCTGTGCTAACCAGCCTTATCTATGTGATCTCATCCCCTCCTCAAGGCCATCTATGAATTAAACACCATTTGCAGATGACAAAATTTAAGCTCAATTTAAGCTCAAAATTTAAACGAGCCAAGTGTCGCTCCCACAGCTAGGAAACACTGTAGCTGAGAGCTGCACACAGCTTGTCATGACTCCTAATGACTACAAATCTTTCTAGAAAACCAAGGAATAGTTTCCCACCAAAATCTCTTCATGACTGGGCAAGGTCTCTGGAGAAACAAAAACGTGGTCTGATGATCAAATTTTTCAAAGAAAATTTCATTTAAAAGTCAAATATGTCCTTCAAAATGAAAAGTTAAAAATAAGAAAGTCAGTGATGAGAAACAGAAGTCTCTATCATCTGTCACTGAATTTTACTGCAACTCCCTAATTCAGAGTAGGCAGATAAGTGCTTGTCTTCCATTCCAGACAATTGTCCCTCCCACCCCCATGGCCCTACTTTGCACTAAAGTAAGTGATAAATATAAATTAACCAATGGTTCTTTTCTTGTATTCTCTACATGTATGCTACTGTCATCCAGTTAGGCAGAGTAAAAAATAGCTAAACCCCACTACTTACCTTGACTCTCTGACTGGGAAAAAAAAAAAAAAAAAAAAGGAGAGCGAGAGAAGGGAAGGAAGAAAGATGGATCTAACAAATCTTTGAGTGACATTCTTTTCATATTATAAGATAATTCTATTCCATTGCAATAATGTCCCCTAAATTTTATTTAATGTCTTGCAAGTCACAAAATTTAATACTTATGAGGATTATTATACCACTAGTGGAACCATCATATAGATCTGGGAACCTCATCTGAGATGGAAAGATTACATACAAAAAATATAGGAAACATTTACCAAATATAGGTTGAGTTGGATTATAAAATAATGTATGTGTCCTCTCCCTCCTCAGCTTAGATGTAATGCATCTGGGGTCTACAGGATGACAGAGTTGTGACCCAACCAAAGATGTTGTTGTGTAGGCAGCCATGTATGTGTTGCTTGAATTTGTGCTAAAAAGGTAGCCAACAATAAACGAAAAATGTTCTCAACCCTGGTGTTTATTTAAACAAATAGATACAGGGATCAGTCTGAATTTGACATATTAAAAATACAAGCAATCTTCTATCTTCTGACTTGGATATGATTTAAGCAGACCTTTATGAAGTTAGGTGAAGTTAGGAGTCACTAATTTTTATAGAAAATAGCATCTAAACGAGATCTCAGTGTTCCGTGAGAGCACTTCTTTTAGAGATGAGCGCAACTGGGACCCAAAGAGACCGGGCATTTTTTATCGTCAGGATTCCTTCAGTCACTCATCTGTCACACGTGATCTATATGACTGGCATCGCCAAGCAATACACAGTCACATGCAAAAGGAATTCCACATTCCAGCAGCTCACACTTTGGTTATTGGTAGCAGAAGAAGCGTCTGCTGACTTCAGCTCTAATGCTTCCTACTCCACCACACGGCTTCTCTTCTTAATGTCTATATTTAATTCTGTACTAGAGCAATAAAGAAACATAAGCTTTTCCAAGGTTGTGTTATGTAAGCCTCGCAATACACAATTAGCACACATAATGGCAAACATAAGGTAATGATATAAAGATAAATCAACAATGGATGACAGCCTATAAAAAGAAAAGTAGTTTTGTAATTTGTTTTTATGCCTCTCCAACACTAGATACATTTAAATCAAGGCCACAAAGCAACAAAAAAAATCGATACATTCTTTGGCACAAAGTATTTGACTCTAAACAATCATCTCTGCATTAACTTTGGAAATATTCCTGAGAATTTCTTTTAAGAAGAGACATGAAATTAGGATGCCTCTGAGATGTCTGAAAATTTTTCTAATAGACACTTCTCTGATCTTCAGGAAGCATCCTTTATGAGCACATATGATACTTTTTTGTCCCAGTCACCATTCTGGTTTTTAATGGAGTGGTTCTGTCTGGCCACAGAGGAATTTCAAAGAGGGACGGTCAGGTAGACAGAATCAGGATATGTTGTGAGGTAGCCAGAAATCCCACTCTGGACAGTGCAAATGGGACATGTGGGTTTATAAAAGATCCCCCTTCCCCATGATCAGTAGAGAATCATCGCAAAAATATCTCTCTGTGGACAAAAGTTAGATGTCCTAGTAGATTTCCCCAGAACATAGCCTGCAGCATATGCATTATTTAGGAATAACAAATTTCCAGACACAAACCTCAGTTATTGCAACCTGAAGGGTTGTTCTGAAGCCCTGCTCCACATGCCCAGAAGAGATGCATCACCTTTCAGGAGTCGGGACAGCCACTGCCCCATCCCGTGAGGACACATGCTCACGTGGTACCCAATCCAATCCCCTCCTGCAATACGGCCCGGAGTGATTGGCTTCCCACAGATGTAAAGAGCATCTTACTTAAAGATGTCTATTAACTTGCATAACTAATTTTCTCTGAGTGAAATAATTCTGGTCAGGGAATCCTATAAACCCATAGGTCCTCTACGGAGTAAAAGGAGAGAGAGAAGGAAGCATATTAATTTTTATGAGCACAGAATACAACACCAAGAATTCCTTGGTGAATCCCATGAAGCATCAGTAAAAGAGCTGACCTGATAGTAATGCTAAGTCAGAGCCCTGATTTCTCAGTTCCTGCCACCGTTAGTGGTTCATTATGATGACTGCCACTGTTTCAGCTGTGGTGCCAGGCAAGAAGAGTACAGTTACTGATAATGATGTTTGCAGGGAAAGATCATATTTAACAAAACAGATCAACATCAAAACTAATCAACTTGATAAGCAAATATTACCAGCAGAATACCAGCACAAAATTCTCTCGTGCTCTTATTGAAGCCTGCCACCTACTCTGTTATTAGAATTTCAGAAAATGTAAGGTTTCATGTTTTTATTTTACTTCCATCTACCGAATTAAGCTGGTGGCCATCTCCCCTCTCTCTTGCTTGATTTTCATTCAAATGGAACTAATCAAATTCTTACTTCACGTAGGTGCTACAAATACTAACAAATGGAGATGTGTTTAAGCTAATTTCATTGGACTGTTCTAGTGGCAGTCTGGTATACAGTTATATCAAATCAACACTCAATTATTTCAAATTAATTCATGTATCAAAACAAGTTCTAAAACATTCTTAAGTGTTTTGAAAATACATTTTGGGTTTCTATCA